AATACACCAGGGCGAAGCATTAGAGGACTAGCACGAGAGTTTGAAGTAGATTATAGAACGATACAAGCTATACTTGCTGATGAACATTATCATCCTTATCATTACATCAAGGTACAGGCTCTTCGTCCAGGTGACTACCCTGCCAGAGTGCAATTTTGCGAATGGCTTCTTCAACATCATGCAAACGACCTTAGATTTATTGACAACGTTTTATGGACAGATGAGTCAATTTTCTCTCAGGATGGTGTATTCAACCAGCACAATAATCACTTTTGGGCAACTGAAAACCTATTCGTTGTCCGTCCTCGTGACCATTATAACCCCCTTTCGGAGGGTTTTACAGCGAACGGCAGCTCTTTAGCCGGGGCGGGTCGCGGTTCGGAGAGTTCTTATTATTTTTTTTGTATTGGGCGCCACGTAGCTTCCTGTTGGGGTAGTTTACTCCGCTACGTCGAGTAAACAGTCGAGAAGAATCAAGCCACAAGAAAACACAAAAAAAAAACTAAAAATATATTCAACGGATAATAAAATTGACAAGTGTTGATTAAATGAAATTCATCTAATATTAAAAAAAAATTACCATGAACGTCCAGAAGGGACTATCACTGAAATATATTAAAGTAATATAGCAGAAAATGAAATGTATTCATGCGTCCTCGTACAAAACTATTTTGCGATATGATAAATTAAAAAACAAAAAAACTTCCAAGAATTTAGATAAAGATAGCTGTGACCGGGCGACTAAATGGAAAATTAGAACTATAAGGCGTTAGAGTGGACTTAGCTCGTAACCGTAGTTATCAGCAGCTCCTCTTCGTCTGGATTGGGATTGATAAAGAAACAGCGGCGTCACAGACCTCTGGATCCGAAGAATAACTTCAAGGTTAGCGGCGGCTCCGCAGGAACAGCAGCGAAAATCAAAGTCGTCGGTTCGATATGGTCTCTTCAAGGGAACAACAGGGACGACAATAAGCTACTCACTGCAACGGCATCACGATAAGCTTGGTTCTTCCAGGAACTCTTCACTTGGGTGCGGTGATAAAAAAACGAACGATAAAATTCCTCTTTTCTGTGGTGGACGATACGAAAACGGCTCAACTAAACCTCTTGCTTCGAACAAAACGATAAAAATCTCTATCTTGAGTACTTCCTCTTCGTCCTTCCACTTCCTTCCTTCAGAAACTCCACCAAAATCTTCTCGAAAACTTCTTTTCTCCTCTTCGGCTACGTCCTAGCACTTCCTTCCTTCAGCAACTCCACCAAAATCTTCTCGAAAACTTCTTTTCTCCTCTTCGGCTACGTCCTAGCACTTCCTTCTTCCAGGATCTTCGCCAAAACGCCTCACGAGAACCTCTCTCTTCCCCTATCAGGTCGATACTCTCTCGAATATTCTTTTTCGCGGGGTGGGAGTACCAGCGCATTAGCAGTGCCACGACGTCGTTTGACACTCCCCATAGGCAACCATGATGTCTTAGATGTCGGCACGTAAAATATTGCATCCCCAATAAAACAACCCTTTTTTTTAAAGAAGGGATGAAACAAAACAATTGGAACGTTTATCTCTTCAACAAAATTGAAACGTTACACCATCAACGACATTTTAGCCTCAATCTCTGGGCTGGCATTATTAACATGAATCTTCTAGGGCCATTTGAATTACTTGCAAGGCTAAATGCAGAAATTTTTTTAGAACTCTTACAAAATGAGTTTCAAGTTTTGTTTGAGGATTTGCCCCTCGCTAATTTAAGGAATATGTGGTTGCAGATGGACGGCGCATCTCCTCATTTTGGAAGAATAGTCCGGAATTGGTGCGACGAGGCTTATCCGCATGGGTGGATTGGTAGAGGTGGTGCGATTGCATGGCCTCCTCGGTCACCAGACCTAAATCCGTGCGATTTCTTTCTTTGGGGTCATCTCAAAGATCTCGTATATGCTACCCCAGTAAATAGCTTGGCAGAATTAAGAGACAGAATAAATGCAGCTATTGGAACGATAAATGCCCCCTATGCTCCAGAGAGTGAAGGAAAATTTAATTAGAAGGGCAAATTTGTGCATTGAAGTGGAAGGCAGGCATTTCGAGCAATTGCTCTAATAGTTTTTGTAGTTTTTAATTAAAATAAATTAAGATTTATAAAAATAATAAAATTTATGCAATTTGACAGTCGTTTTTGTTTTGTGTAGCTGTCCGTTTCAGTTTCTTGGAGACCAACGCACCTGTGAATTATTAATTTTACAAAAAAGAAAGTTAAATTTATGCAGTATTGCCATTTTCTGCTGCTAGAAAAATGGTTTAAAGTAAAAGAAAAGATATTTATAGCACTTTTGCTGCAATTTTCATGATGCTTTATCAGAAAAGGACATTTTAGTTAAAATCGTCGGCGCCTTTTTTTCATCACCCTGTATATGTTTTAACAAATGCGAATTTGGTTTAAACATTTGTGGTCTACTTTACTTTAAGTTACGACAAAAAAATTTTACTACAACCAGGTTGTAGACATTAAGCAGGTTCTGCTATCTTAGGCTATTTTTTTCTTCAATGCTTGGAAAATAAATGTCTGATTGCAACAATTTTGACGTGAATATATTTGCTTTTCGTGCAAAAAGCCATTATTAAATTATCTATTTCGTGACGATCCGGTTTTGTTGCATTTTTACTCTTTAATAAACATGTTTATCACATTTAGTAGATTGACTTTAAAAAATTGCGAAAACGCGGTGATAACATCCTTCGTCGCATCGGAAGAATTAAATTATACTTTTAGATTGAATTTCTTTGAAAAATATGCATTTACATGTTATTCCCATGAATATATTTATCTCTTGGGAAGAGAAAGTGTATTGAATGACAATTTAAAAAATTGGTCTAAGAGTTAGACAGTATTTGGCTTGCCCCTGAAGCGTGACCAATACCCCGTGCATGACAGATACCGATCCTATTCTTTTGCCCCACCCTGTATATCTGCTTTGTTTTCCAATCAAAGTAAAAGCATTTCTCAAATTTTAAATTGGAAGCAGATTACGATACCACAGATAAAGGATTTAGCGAAATTTAATCAACAAAATTTTGAGATGAAGTAATTAATTTTTGGAATGAGACAGTTAAATAAAATTTTGTTAGCATTATTCTTAAACCAATCCTAAATTTTGGTTCTATTAACTGTTGTTTCAGGGTAACCCCATGTCTCCACTTGTTGAAAGTGAAATTTTACTAATAAAATTTTGTGAAGACGTCGATCTTACATTAGATTGGCTTCGAAAGATCTGTCACTACATTTTTACTAAGAATTTGCCGTTTTATTTAGATACGTAGCAAATCTACCATTCGAACTGATTGTCTAGCTATCAGGAATATAAGTATATTCATTCCTCAATGTTAAACGAGTAGTCATCAGTCACAACAAGGCGGCGAAATTCACAACGTTTCAAAGTCAATTTGATATATGGCCTTTTATGGTCACTTGTGAAAATTGTGATACCTACAAGGTAACTCTAAAATAACGATGGAATTCTAGAAAAAATAAACTGACAGGTCTTAGCGAATGTTCTATAATCCCTACAGCAAGGTTAGTGTGTCTACCAAAACATGACGTTATACAGGTCCTAATATGTAAAATATAGGTTCATAAATGTTTCTTCATCGTAGGTGGCTTAAACAAAAGCAGAAAGCGGAAAATAGATAGACCCAAACTTTATTTAACCCATCTACGATGTAAGAAAGATTGAAAACCCTGTATTATTTTATTTTCTTTTTACCTTAACATAAATTATGTACGAAAGGTTAAAAATATGGACACGTTATTAAGCCATAGAAAACATTAGATGTGCAATATATCGGGTGGCTTAACCTATCTGTGCTATTGTATTACCATATAATCGGAAAAAACGCCTCCTACTAGAACCAATTTATTTTTAAAATAATAATGTTGGCATTGCAGCTATTTTACCCCTTATTTGACAGTTATTTGACCGCAACTACCAAACTGAGCAAAAAATGGTTGGTGTTGTCAATATCAGTATGTATTTTAAAAAGAAATTACACGAACTGCAGTTATCTAATTTTTAGTCGTTAAAATTAAGTTTGTGAATATAAAAAAATTGAAGTTGAATGAAATAAAATACACACTACCATATTATTTTACAAACAAATAAAAAAATGTTTTTGTACCTGGCCATACCAGTTCAACTGTTTTGTCTTGATGTCGTCAATTATTGTATGTGTTACCCCCATGATTTTTCGAATTCTCTCATTTGGTACTCTGTCCTTTCTCGATTTACCTGCCCACCTCCTTCAGTAGTCCATTTCCGTTATCAGTAGCATTTTCTCAGTGTTTTGTTTTAATTGCCATACTTCGCTGCTATATGTGACGATGCTCTTCACAATACTGTATATTCGGTCTTTGTTCGCTTTTGAGACATGCGGATCCCATAGTATTCCATTTATCATACATATGGCTTTTCTTCCTTGCGAGTTCCTTTCTTTTACTGTTTTGTCTTGAGTTCCGTCCTGTGTTATTTTTGTCTTGATTATTTTATTGTTCTCTAAGGCGATATTCTGTGCAGGCCCTCCAATACTCATGCACTCTGTTTTCTTTACATTTACTTCCAATCCCCATTTTATGTATTCTTCAATAAGTTTTCATACCACGTAAGTTAAATTCTCGTGGTCTTGTGCTATTACGATTTGATCGTCTGCAAAACATGATGTATGCAGGGTTGTATTGACATTAAGAGGAATTTCCATGCCACTGCACTTCCTTTTCCATACTTTCAGTGCCTGTTCTAGACAGATTTTAAAAAGTGCTTCAGTTTTTGGTAACTGCGAATCCCTCTCAAACTTTGCTTTCCACCTTAACTTGTGTTGTTATTTGTATACATATTTTGCACTGCTTTTATTACTCCATGTTTAATGTTTGTTCCAATGTTGACCATAGTCTGTGATAAAACTGATAGGGAATACTGTCGTAGGCTTTTTGTAGATCTACGTAAAGTAAATGGACTTCTTAATCAAACGCTAATTTTTTCTCTATAATTTGAGTGACGCAGTATAAATGGTCTACTGTCGACCTGCCTGCTCTAAATCCCGCTTGTTCTTCTGCCTCCACATCCATGTACTCCAGTTCTATTTTGTCTTTCAAAATTTTCCCGTAGATTCTGATTCCTGTACTTGTTATAGCTATGCCTGTATAATTTTCGGACTGATCTCTGCTACCTTTTTTGTGGATTGTTGATATTACTGATTTTTTCCACTCACTTGATACCCTATCCCCATTTAGACAGTTCTCAAATAGCTTCCTAAAGTGTTGGTATAGCATGTTTGTTCCCGCTGTTATTAATTCCGTCGGTATATCACCTGGCCCAGGATATTTTCCATTTTTTAAAGATTTGCAGATAGGTTCCACTTCTTTTAGGGATATCCTCATGGGGGAGGAGACTATATTTATTTCTGTTTCCTGGTTTTCATTCATAAATTCTATCTGATATTCCGTTAGAAGATCTTTAAAGTATTCTTGCCATTTTTCTAGTGTTACCGGTGATTTATATCGATTTTTTTATTTGTTCGTAGTCTTTTTATTAGTCTCTAGCGTTCTATATTTTTCCTCCCGCCGATGTATGTGTTTATTGTATTACAACTGTCTTCCCATGTTTCATTCTTTTTTTGTGTGATTTTTTCCTTACACTTGCTTGTGCTTCTTTATATTGTCTTTTGTCACTATCTTTGTTAGTGTTTATTGTCTTTGCCATTTCTATTGAAACACCACCTGTTGATTTTGCTTAAAATTTGGCAATTGGTAATAGCTTTCGGTTGATTGACAACGGCTTTTAGTCAGAAAATTGTTTGAATATGAACGTTGCCAAATTTACGATTAACAAGTGGTGTTTCAATAGAAATGGCAAAGACTATAGGAACTTCATGTGTTTTTGTGTTTTCTCTATTATTTCTCTTTCGATATCTTCATCCCACCGATACGGTTTCTGTCTTTCCTATCTTTTGTTTGATTTTCATATTCTACCAGGGCCTCCTTCGCTGTTGCGTGTATGCAATTTTTAATGTATTCATAATGTTCTTCCGTGGTGCTAAATGTCTTGTTCTTTAATTTGTCGTTCAGTCGTTGTTGATAGAACAATTTTACGCTGTCATGTATCAGATTGTCTAAATTATACCGTACTTGTTTCTGGTCTTGTTGTTCATTTCTATTTGGCAGCACAACTATGGTTTTCAGCAGGTAGGGATCGCTGCCACACGATGGTCCTCTACATGCCTTTACATCCTGAATCTTCATTTTAGTATTTTGTCTGACAATAGCGTAATCGATTATGGACTTCAAATTTCGGGTCGGCTGTGTCCATGTGTATTTGTGTGTGTTGCGCTGTTGATAGAAGTCATTCAGTATTCGTAAGTTGTTTTGTTCACATAGCGCTAATAATAATCTATTTCAGTTGTCGTTCCGTGTCTCTTCACTATACTGGCCAAGTACTTTGTTGTTGGCTTCTCGTCCGATTCGGCAGTTTAGGTCTCCTAAAATAATGATTTCTTTCGATGTTCCTATTCGGTTGATTTCGTCGTTCAGTTGTTCGACAAAATCCTCTTTTACGCTGACGAGGGAGTCATCATTTATACCGTATACTCCTAATATTGTTATTTTATATCCTTTATTTGTAAGGTTCATTTTTATAAATCGTTGGTTGATGTCTTAGTGTTTTACGTATTAGAATGGACACCCCTTGTTGGGCTCTTTGATCTTTAAGTACGCCGCTGTAGTACCGTCATAGTGTCCCAGTTTTCGGAGCCATTACCTTTCTTTTGAGTTTCTGCTATCACGAAGACATCTGCTTTCATTTTCTTTAGTTCCGATATTATTTCATTTGTTTTCTGAAAGAGTCCTTGTACGTTCCATATTGCGTAAATCATTATCCATTTCCTTTGCAGTTTTCGTTGTTTTTTGTTCCAGTTTCTTGTTCCGAGGCTATTGTTAGGTTTTTAACATTAATTTCTCTGAGTATCGAGGAGTTAGCCCAATGACTCAACCCCCTACTAGGAGGAGCAGGGTTTTGTTATCGAAGTTTCCTTCTTCTAGGAGGGTTGCCTTCTCTACGGCTTAGGAGCCCCTTCTGCCCCACTTGTTGGTCCGCGGGAGGTATTTTATTTTCCTCCTACGCACCGGAAAACCGGGTCGGGCATTTCCCAATCCGCCACCCGGGGACGCGCTGTCTAGGGGTTGCAGGCTCCTCCCATAGTTAATGGAGAGTTTACAGATCGAAAAGTTTTAGTCTGAATCGGCCGAGCAATCATTTTGGGTCATATTTATGTTATAAATTCCAGAAAACTCTCCCATTTTCTACGTTCTGCTCAAACTTTATTTATTAAAAATGTGCCATATTTTGAATTACGAGAACAAACATCAGGACTCTAGTGCCATCAACAGGATTTTAAAATTAATGATTTTTTTAATACGTACATTAGCAGCCTAGTAATAGCCGTTTTCCTTTCATCAAGTTAATTTTTCGGAGGAAATGACTAAATAAACTCTGGTTAATCTTACTACCTCATGATTTTTTTAACTCCGTAGTAATAGTAATTCGTAGTAATTTAGTTTTGAAAAATAAAAAGCTTTAAGTTTAGTTCAAAAATTTCTTGTAAAGATTTTTTTCAATCTCTAAATGCAGGGTGATTTCGAAATATATGCAATAATTTTAACCACGGCATTACATAACGTAGTAGTGTGGAAATATAGAAAAACAAACTAAAAATCGAATGGGGCAAAACCCCCACGAACCACCCTCGATACGAAGTCACTGTTCCACCTTGTAAACAGAGGTGGAAAAACCTTTGAATAAAAACGATGTAAACACTTTCAGTTTCAATTAAAAGTAAAACCGACTTTTTGCTGCTTACCATTAATGCTTTAAAAAAAAAATGCATTCATTCATCATTAAAGGTCAGTGCGACAGATTATTCGTTGTAGAAACAAATAGTGGTCCTGAGCAAGACCAATTTTTGAATAATGCTTCATGGTGATAGACTTTTGATTCTGACGGAAGTTTGGTACTTGCCACAATGATTTTACATTGTTTATTAAATAGAACAAAAATAAGAGCAACTTAGAATGCTACTACCTTTTTACAAGAAATGTTGAAAACGTTGTCCTTGATTAGCAATACAGGCTTCAGAGCGTCGCAAGATGTTTGTTGATAGGTAGGAAACCACCTGGAGTTCCACGAACTGTAGCGGCTGCCAGTTGCACTTGTTGTTGAAGCTATTTGATAGTTTCTGGACACTGTTGATTTCCATTAACTAAGTGTTTCATTGAACCGATCGTTGAAATCGTACTTCTTAACGAGCATGTGGCTTTTCATCGAATCAAATGTGAGTGTTGTGGCTGTTGAAAACAGCATTACTAGTAAATCCTGCTTCATCCGTAAACAAGATGCACTTATGAGGTTCACGACACTGCGGTAACAACTATTTGCAGTAAATTACACAACGTGGATAATCAGCGGACTCCAAACCTTGCACTTTTGAACATGGTATGGATGTGGCCTTGTTCTTTTAATGTACGATGCGCTACAAATTGTGAAACTCCAACCTCCGCTTAAAGACGGCGAGTGCCCTTTTCGTGTTTTTGCAAATTTCTTATCAGTCACTTTTTTTGGTTCTTGATCCAAGTCGTTCTGTGTCATTCATTGAAGAAGTAGGTCAAGAAACACTACCAGCAGCGTGTAACAATTTATATTTAATTTGAAATACTTTTTTCTAGACGTTGCTACCACTTAGGAACGTGAATTTTACACAGTAAAATGATTCCCCATTTTTCTTCTTGCATATATTTCGAAATCACCGTGTAGATTAACATTGCCTTGTTTGTTTATCTACTATAAACCTTATTCTTCATTTGCTAAATTAATGAATGGTAACACTGTTGGCCACGGAAAAAAAGCAAATCTGTTTATAAAACAAACTGAACACTGAAACGGGTGAACAACCAGCCAATTCTTCCTATTAGCTAAAAACATGCATCTTGAAACCCATTTTACAGCATACTGTAAAGTCTTAAGTTCACAGCTGGTGTTCGTTACTTAGAACTCTTAGAAATAATTGAAAATAGGCTATCCCTTTTAAAAAACATAAGAAACACTGACAAATTAAACAAAACTGGAAATACGTAACACCGTTCAAAGAAGATACAACGTCTCGACGGAGACATAATATACTGAAACTGAATAGCATAATGTACTGAGGCTGAATAATGTGTGAATATACATTTAAAAAATTGGTCTAAAGAGTTTAGACAGTACTTCCCTCGCTGTCGGAAACTTGACGACTGCATGCCTATTGTGTTTTTTTTCTCATTACATTTTTGTAGTGGGAATTTAAAAAAAAAATTGCGATGACGTCATCAACATTTTTGCAAGGACACGTATATCAGTTGGGATAGATGTAGTGTAATACTAAGAATAAAATTATTGTATTCCCAAATTTTCGGGAAAATGAATCGGGTCGTTTTGAATATTGATTTGTTATAATCAATAAAATAACGAAACAATTTACTCACGTATACGGTGCCGGTGAGAGGCAACTGAAAATCGTTTATGTATAAGCATTCTTAATTTAAGATGACAAGCGTAACAGCATACGTGAGAGTCAAACAGAGAAACTGTAAACAAAACGACCATCGGTTTTATTGCTTCGACTTCCGCTTATTATATAAAACATTGGGTTTTATTTTAATTTTTGACGGTGGAATTCACAATTGGTTGATTATAAACATGTCTATTCCACATTCGCGGAACCTAGTCAGCGCAACAAAACAAATGTACGTCTGTAATGTTAAAGTCGATGTATTCAACCGAGTTTTTACTTTAAAAAATTTTGTGTCTACCAAATTGGGTTGGTCCAATGTAATACCAATAATAAGTGTTGCCTTTAATTTAATCAATAAACTAAATTGACTTCATTAATTTTTTGAGCCACCTCTTAAGAAAATCTAAAAAATATGAATGGAATGATAAATCACAAGTACAAACTCATAAAATTTTTTGCATTTTAGATAGAATTTATTCAGTAAAATTTAAGGGTGACGTCATCAATTTTTTTAGGAGGGATGAACAAATACATTTTGAACAAAAGTTTACCATGCTTATAATAACTTTAAAATATCTCCAAGATTTCAAAGCATTCGGTTTTGTAATTCCTGATTAATTCGATAAAATAAATTCACGCATTCATTAATTTTTTTGAGTCACCTGTATATGCAAATCCAAAAATATGAATGGAATGATAAATTACAAGTACAGACTCATCATATTTTGTACATTTTAGATAGGATTTATTCAGCAAAATTTTGGGGTGACGTCATCAATTTTTTAGGGGGGATGAGCAAATACATTTAGATAAAAAATTTACCATGCTTATAATAAATTT